TTCACATTTTTTGAAGTTAAAATGAATTTTTGAAGTTTAAAACAAATAAAATATAAAATCAGAAAATAAAATAAAAACCAAAAAGATGTAGACCATTGGATGAAAGTCAAAACGTGTTAGTAAGCTAATCCAATGAATCAGACACGCTGTGCATATCACGCTTAATGAATAAAACACTAAATCATTTATTAAAATCAGAATTAAAAAAAATAAGTGGCATGATATCATTGGTTGAGAGATGACACATTTGTCATCTTCAACCTCCAGCCATGCGAATTACAGGTCTCTGAAATGGAAAAATTAGAGCTCGAGACGGGTACCTTTCACTTCGTCTCTTCAAGACGATTTCAATGGTACCCTCGCAAAAAATTTATATAAGGTGTAGCTCAATCGTTTTGGAAGGAAAGATTTATAAAGGGATTTGAAAATTCATGGCCAAAACTTACTTCCAGTTGAAAACAAATGTTGCGACTAGAATCAGAATGATGAGAGCTTCATTACAGTACCAAAGTTTGAGAAAATTGCAGAAAGAATCTACCTATTGAAGTTCAAATTCAGAGCTCTGAAACTTGACTTCGCTAGCACAATTTAGGAAGTCTTAGAGCTTGGTTCTTCTTCTGTTAGTTTTAGTGAAGTTCAAGGATGAAGAATTGACAAAGAAAATGAATTGAGGAAAGTTGTAAAACCAAATTCGAAGTTACAGAAAAGTGGGTTCAAGAGAGAGTTTGGTAGAGTGATTCTGGCTATCTAAGCTTGCCAAAATGAGTGGGATAGAGCCTGTATTTATAGGAGAAGTGAATGGGATCAAGAGGAGGGGTTAATGATGCAATTTGGAGGAAAATCGTGCACACCTGTTTTCATGAAATAAGTGTGATCACATGTGCATCAAAACTCATACAAATGATGAATTTTGACACTCTAAATCATCCACACGCTTATGCTAATCATGTTTAAGTAGAAAACACACACAAATTTGGTGATTAGAAGTCAACTTATGGAAATTGCATTATGACTGTTTGAGAAACTTCAGTTCTAAGGTACCAACTTTGAAATCATGGTGTGCACAATTTAGGGAACCTTAGGACTTGATTCTTGATGTGTTGGAAAGATGAAATCACGAACTTACGATATGCAAGGAATGGAATCAAATGGATGTTTGAGCTGATAGTTTTGATGAGTCAAAGTTGAGAAAAAGATGCTGACATTTTGTACTTAGAAAAAGTCTAAGTTTTTCTTCAAAAATAACCTATAATGTCTTGCATCCAAACATGGTCTTCCATTTAAAATTTTCTCTTGACCAAAAAAAATGTCATGAAGTGGACCCCTTGAATGACATTTTGAGACTTGAACTATTTAAAATCTCTAAAAAATGAGAAATTTATGACTTGGTGAAGTTGGTGAAAATTCATGAGTTAACCTATAATATTTTGAGTCCTTAAGACATCTTCCATCCATTTTCAAGCTTTGCACATAAAATAAGTGTTTAAGTTCACATCTTTAAGATAATTATGGAAAACGAATGGGCTCAAGGAGATACAAATTGACCAAGTTATGATATTTTGAAGTCTTATAAGGGAATTTGATGGCCTATCTAGAGGACTTGTAATTTTTCTCAATCACTAGGCATCTTCCCCATAAAATTTTCTTGAAAATTTTGAAGTGATTTGCTGATAACTCTTTAAAGGGGAGCATCTATTTGGAATCACTTAAAAATACCAAAAAATGAGCAAGATATAGCCCTTAGAAGTTCAAAACCTAGCTCCTAGAGCAACAAAATATCTTAGAAACCCTTTTCAAAATTGACAAACTTTCTTGCACAAATATCTTTGTATTTCAAATAGAAGTTGTTGATGATGATAATAAGAAACCATATCAACCATAACCACTTCCAAATATTAAGAATTGATGGAATTATGCACTTGTGATCAAGAAATCAAGAACTTGTCCAATTAGGTCAAACTCTTCAAACAACTTTTGCATCTATTGACTTTCTTTGACAAATTGAGGCATAATGAATCAAAGTAGACCTTGTCATGATATTACTTCAAAGCCTCTTCAATGATGAAGCTTGAATCTCAATGAATCTTTGTTGAAGAAAGCATGGAAATAAACTCATGAACCTATAGATCAACCTGATGAAGTGTGTTGTGCTTTCACCTATAGCACCATCAACTAGAGAAAACATTCATAGTATTCATTAGTTAAAATTTAATCAAAAACAAAACATAGATGATCACAATATACAAGTCAATGTGCTTGGTGATTCCTAATGAGCACACTTAAAGATAGGGAGAAGAACCAAACTCTAGTGTGATTTTGTTGTAATTGAGTTGATATGAGATGATAGAGGAATCTTAGGGGCAAAAATTAGGGTACAACACTTCACTCTGAACCCTTCTGTTGCAGGTTAGGCTGGCACATTCCGGAATAATTCTAGAGAATTTTTTGTGGCTTTTACAGCACCGATTATGTTTCCTTCTTCTTTTATTGCTGTTTTTTGTGTGCAGTGATTAAAGCTATTGGGATTGCTTATGCTCTAAATTGAAATAATCTTTGGATTGAGACAGACTCTCAACCGGTGGTCAAGGATTTCTCCAACAGGACTCTTGTTCCCTGGCAACTTTGTTCTAGCTAGATCCTTTGTAGAAACATGCTTTCTAACATGAATTTTTTTATCACACATATTTATAGAGAAGGTAACTCTTGTGCGGACTTTTTGGCTAATCTCAGTCGCACTTCGAATTCCCTCATTCTTTTTTATTCCATCCCTTTAGATATTAGGAAGGATTTTGTAAAAAATAGGTTAGAAATGTCTTTTGTTAGGTTCACTTACTCTTGAGAAGGTTTTGGCCTAGCCCCCTTCTCCTTTTGTTTCTCTATTTCTTTATTAATTTCAACCCCTATTTAAAAAATATAATTAAATACGTTAGATATTAAATTATTGAATCATATTACCTTAAATTTAAAATTTATATTAACTATTTTTATATAAATATTATACACAAATAGAATTATAAGCATTGTAATTTTTTACTCTTATTAAAAAATTATTAATATAGTTTATTTATTCTCTAATATAAAATATTATATAAAATATTATATAAAATATATTATTTTAATTGATCTATGTAGTATTTTTAATGTTGAAAAAGAAAAATATTTATTTAAGAACATGTTTTTCTAGCTAAGGCTTTATAAGGATATTTTATATTTTTCTAAATATAATAAAGTAAAATATTTTTTTATAGGGATGTATTTTTTCTAGCTAAGATTTTTAAAGGAAAGAGAATATGAAAAAATTGAAGGATTGAGTGGAATGAATTGAAGAATTTTGATTGGGAGAGTTTTAGAGGGTTTATTTTTATTTATAACACTGAAAAAAATTTTAATTTAGGAGAATTCAAAATTTATATCTGAGAATTTTGAAGGACTTTCATACATTTTTTAAATATATTATATGTTGTTATAGTATTCTAAAAATTAAAAATATATTAATGATAAACAATCTTTTATCATTCAAAACAAAATTATTCTTCCAAAAAATATAAAATATTTTCCATATTTTTAAAAAATGGTTTTGGAAAGCATTCTCTCCCCCCTCTTCTCCAAAGTCTAAAAAAAATATTAAAAGCTAATAATATACAAATGTTACATATTAAACTATTGAGGAGTCACATATTAAATTATTTAGTTATAATGCTTTAAAACTAAAAAAATATGTAAATTATTTATTTCCAAATATTATATATAAATAGAATAAGAAGACGTGTCAATTTTTAATTTATATTAAAAAATTAATTTTTTTATTATAAATTATTTATACAAAAGTTATTATTGTAAGTAGTTGACTTACTATTTATGCAGCAGTAAATAAAAAAATTTATAGAATTTTTTATTTTTATAATTAAGGTGTTATAAGGATATTTTATTTATTTTTATAAATAAATAAAGGCAAAATACTCATTTTGGTCTCTTAACTATACTCTTGGATTCACATTGGTTTCTTAACTTTTTTTCGTGTCATTTTGGTCTCTTAACTTTCAAAAAGTTTCATTTTAATTTTTTTTATCTAATTAACGACGGAAAATCTTTGAAATCCATCGTTAAATTTGTCGCTAATTAGACAAAAAAGACAAAAATAAAACATTTTGAAAGTTAAAGGACCAAAATAACACAAAAAAAAAAATTAAAGGACCAATGTAAACTCAATGATATAGTTAAGGTACCAAAATGAGTATTTTGCCATAAATAAATAAAATACTTTTTGTAAGAATATTTTTTAGAAACACTTTTTTCTAGTTAAGGTGATATAAGATTATTATTTTTTTCATTTTGATATGTAAATAAAAAAAATAATTTTTATATAAATATTTTTTATCTCAGATTTTATAAGAACACTTTGTTCACTTTTATATTTAAATAAGTAAATTATTTTTATATGAACACTTTATTTAATTAGGGTTTTGCAAAGACATTTTATTCATTTTCATTATGTAAAATAACAAAAGTTAATGCAAATTACTTTTTGAAAATCATATTAATTTATTTAAGTTTAGAAATTTATAAAATAAGTGCAAAAAAAAAAATAGAATTAAGATTACAGTTAGAGTTATTATCAAAATAATATGTCAAGATCAAATTAAAATTTTATTTAAAATTGACATAATGTCAATCTTAAATTTATATTAAATAGATATTCTTATAAATTATATTTATATTGAGTTGACGCTGAATAATTTAGTTTACAATTAAATTTTTCATTAACTGAACTGTACGAGTGGACCACAATTTTCAACCTGAATTAAATTAATTATTTACTCAAGTGAATATTTTTTTTTACTCTTTATTAACCGGACGTTGTTTAGACAAGTATCTTTTAAAATTTAAATGTCATAATCTTATCATCTAGAACTTAATCTATATAAATACCTCATTAGCCTTGGCTTATTCCTCAAATTGTAAAGTGGTTACTAACATAATCTTCGTAGTATAGAGATATTATGGCTAATAATTTAGAAAATGCATTCTCCCATATACTCATCTTTGTAGGTTCACTCACAATATTTCTAGTGACTCCTTCGTCTTGTTTTAAACTCAAAAATATTGTTAGTATTACCTCTAACTTCTCATCTGATTCAGAGTTGTTGTCTTCAGAGGCTACTTGGTATGGACCTCCCAATGGTTATGGAAGTGAAGGTACATAGTAGAAATGTTAATCACATGTAGATTTTTCCAACGGCTACTTAGTAATTTTTATAATTTTGTAACCAAAAAACTGATGCAATGATTTTAATTGATGTGTAGGCGGTGCTTGTGGATATGGAAAAGCAGTTGGTAGGCGTCCATACAATTCAATGATATCAGCGGGAAATCCTTTCCTCTACCAATCAGGCAAAGGTTGCGGCTCATGTTTCCAGGTCAGACAGTTAATACTATGAAAAATACTTGTATTATGAAAAATACTTGCATGAAAATGTAACTAAATACTTATTCTTAGAAATAACTTATAAGAAGGGAGAAAATTTTAATTTTATTTAAAATTTAATTTCTTTTTTAATTGGAATTATAGAATGATTGTGATAATCGAAGATAGAAAAAAATTTGATTAATAAAAAAGTTATAATTAATTTAGTGCAAGACTATTTATTATAAGTTCGCTCAAAGAATAATAATCTTTATTGAAACAAAATGAAACCTAAATGTTGAGTCGGAGATTTCGAACATATGGGAATCACCTTTCAACTCATTGTAATATCAACATTCGTAATATTCTAAGTCAGACTCACGAATACGCTCCAATGGAAGCACCTCAAGTCTGTATACAAGAAACCTCAAAATTTTACAATTAAGAACAAGCTCAATATTCTTACTCAAACAACATCATCAGTATAATAGATTAAATAGTTGCTCACCTATTTGCCAAAGAGAATACTACAATTCCTCCTTGAGGTTGATTTACCATAGCCATGTCGATGTGAATCCAAGATTTGCTCAAAATCAAAAATCAAAATGAGATTATTCTTGAAATCTATAATACGATGATTGATCTGAAGAAAAAAGCGCGATTCATAATAGATTACAGAAAATTGATCAAAGGCATGCAGGAAAATCAAGATATAATAATGCATTAAAATGGATAAGAAAGGTTACTTGGTGGAATCAGGACCAACAGCTTCACAGAGCTCATAGAGTTGATTGATTGGCAACCATGTAACGAACGCGCCATGACTTATCCTGCATGAGAAAGTTATTCAACTATGAAATAAAGCATGTAGTAGAATATCATTCTAGAAACACCTAGATTTCCATAAAAAATAAAAAAAAATTGTGCTTTTTTAGTGAAAATAATAATTTTATGACTTATATTAAAATATCATTTGTTCATAATATAAAACTGTTCAAAAAATTCAGTGGAATAAAATATAGCTGTAGGTAAATGTAATATAACTGTAGGTAAAAGTAATATTTAGTGACAAAAATCAAGCCATCACTAAATATGGGTGTCACAATATGTCACTTTTCTTGTAGTGAAAAAAAGGTTTGAAAATACTATAACAAAATTATTAGTGTAAACTTTTTTTTAATAATTACATATTGATTTTATTTTGTTCTAATTTCAGGTGAAATGCATAGGAAATTCTCTTTGCTCAGGAAATTTTCTATTAGGAACCACAATTGAGTCTGGAAAAATGTTTGTGGCCAATGATGTAATTCCTCTGGGTTGGAAGCCTGGTCAAACTTTCAGAGCAACTAAAAGTTTTAATTAAAAATTATGTTTAAAAGGTCTAGCTATTTGGATTACAAGTTTTAGTGATATGTATCCACCTGAATCAAGTCCCCTAAGTGGATTTTGGATTGTGTCACGTAATTAAATAATAATAATAATAAAATTTTATGTTATTTTAAATTGTTGTGTTCATGCGTTTATTTGATTTTACGAATATAGTCAATACATGTATATTATACTTTTGATAAACACAAACAACTTTATTTTGAACAATTATATAGGAATTAATCACAAATAAAATGAATATATTTGCTTCTATGTTGTGAGTGAAATATAAGATTTAGTTTTGTAAATTTAAATAACTATTAAAATATGATAAATGGTTTATATTTTGATTTGATTTAATATCATTTTGATACTTGTATGAATTTATTTTGATAATTATCGTTTTATTTTGTATATTTTCTTTTTGATATTTTGACAAACATAGTAAATGTTTTAATTTGAACAAATATAAAAATTAATCACAAATAAAAAAAATGTACATGCTTATAACTTTACATAATGACATATAAATTTCACTTTTGACAATTAGTTTTGATTGGTTTTAATGATGGTATCTATTTTAGATATATAATTTTAAATTGTAAAATACAAGTAACCTTTGTGATTCGCAATATTTTAATTCGTTATCTGTTAATTTTTAAAATTTTCAAAGTAAAATTTTAAACTGTATTTTATAAAATTATATTTATAAAATATTGTAGTTATAATTTATATGGTATTTTTAATCATTTGAAATAATTAATACATAAATTAGCATATAAGTATTTTTATTTTATAGTTAAGAATTTATAACAATACAAACATTAATAGTATTTTATAAATTTATGCAAATACAACATTTTTAGCATTTGACAAAATTTAAATTCATGACCTTCGTAAAATACAATTAAGTGTTTGTCTTGTTTTTTTTTTTTTTTAGCAGTGGTAGATAAGAAAACGAGTGATGTAGAACAAAGATAATTGAAATGTCGACGAGATGATGTGTAGGTTGTGATTTTTTATGTTATATAAATTTTATAAAATTTACGCAAATTATACATTTACGCATTTGACTGAGTTTAAACCTATGCCCTTTAGTAAAATACAATTACATGCTTTTATTTTTTGAAAAAGTAAAGATGAATTTTAAAATGTGTCACATAGGAAAATAAGTGAAGTGTCAGTCGAGATTATGTGACATGTTCTAATTTTATATTTCTTTTTGGTCATTATTATTAACTTTTAGATTAATTAATTTTTATATTATTATACTCTTAATTTAAGTATTTAATATTAATAATTGATTCATCAAATATAATTTAAAATGTTATAATAAATTTCATTTTGATTGTATAAAAATCAAAAAGATTAATTACATTTAATTAGTTTTCTTAATCAGTGTGAAAATAATTATTTTGACTTATAATTATAAACGAATATATAATATAGATGATTAAAATCAACTTTCATATTATTAAATTATACTTCTCTTTCTTATTGACTTTGCAAGTTTATGGGAAATGAGATCTCATTAATAAATGACAAATCGAAGTTTTTTTCCTCACCATTTTTAATCTTCTCATCTTAGAATATGTTTGACTAAGTAAAATTAAAAGAAATTTTATTTTGTTATAAAATAGGTAAAGAAGATAAAGGATGAGAGAAAAATGAAAAATAATTATGTATTATTTCATTGTTCTGTCTTTCTACAATGAGACTGATTATATATATATATATATATATATATATATATATATATATATATATATATATATATATAAGGAATAAAATCATTGCGAGACAATCATTCAATTATTCATAATACTCCCTTTTAGATGTTTGTTTTGGATATGCCTCGTTAAAATTTGACTACAAAAAACTCAATAAAAAAAATCTAGTGAAGAAAAAAGAGTACAATATGCTTTTAAAATAAATTCATTTCTCTCCCTCAGCTAAACGGTCCTTTCTTCGACCATTAAGACCAATCTTTTGTACTAGTTGATTAAAAGTTCTACTTGGAAGTGACTTTGTGAAAAGGTCTACAACATTATCACATGAAAGAATTTGTTAGATTTTTATATCACCACTCTTCTAGATATAGTGAGTTAAAAATAACTTTGAAGAGATGTGTTTTATTCAGGCTCTTTTGATGTAACCATCTTTCAATTGAGTGATGCATGAACTGTTATCTTCATATATGGTCGTTGTATTTGTTTTCCAGAAGACAAACCACAAGTATTTTGTATGTGTTGCATTAAGGATCTCAATCAAACCTATACTCGACTTGCCTCATGTAGTGCTAAAAGTTCTGCATGATTAGATGAAGTTAATGTTATTGTTTGTTTCACTGATCTCCATGAGATATATGTACCACCACATATAAATAAATAAATTGTTGATTATCTACCATTTTGAGGATCTGACAAGTAACTTGAATCCGCATAACCTGTTAATTAGAATTTGAATACTTTGGTATAAAACAAACTCATATTCATTTACCCTTAAGATAACAAAGTATATGTTAGACACCGTTCAAATGTTTTCGTGTAGGTGAAGAATTATATCTTACTAAGAGAGTAAGAGCAATTGATATATCGATTTCTGTATAATTAGGAAGATAGATCAGTGCTTGAATTACACTGAGATATGGTACTTCAAGACCAATTAGTTTTCATCCTCTTCTCGAGGTCTAAAAGAATGTTCTACACGTTCAACAATCTAACATCATCGGGGTACACGACATACGAGATTTGTCCATATACAAATGTTTTAGCACTTATGCTACATAAAGTATGATATTTGTCCATATAGAAACATTTTAATACTTTTCTATATAACTTTCTTGGTGTATGAAATTTTCCAATGTCTAAATGTTTGCCTTTTAAGGACTTTTTATTTCTCAAGTCTTGCACCTCAAACCATTTATTTAAATAATTTATGGTTTTTGGAATCTTCTCAAGATGTTTATCAATGTATTGAAGAAATTCAAGAACTCATTTCTTATAAACCAGATCTAATCTATTGGCTTTTATCCAACTACGATCCATAACAACTTCTAAAATTTATACACATATAATAATGTGAATTACACACCAAAATATAATCCAAAAACTAACTTGAGCATATGAAAATCTAAACCTAAAGCATATGAAAAATGTACTCATATTCACTTGAGCATATATACAACATAAACAAATAGAAAAGGAATGAAGATGTCGAAGAGTACCATACTTCGAAACCGAAGAATCAAATGAACAAAGAGGGTAAAGATTTGAGCATATACAACATAAACCAAGAAATAACGAATGAAGATGTTGAATAGTACCGTACTGCGAAGCTGAAGAATCAAATGAATGAAGAGGGTGAAGATTTGAGCATATACAACATAAAAAAAGAAAAAAGGAACGAAGATGTTGAAGAGTACCGTATTGAGAAGCTGAAGAATCAAATGAAAAAAAAGGGTGAAGATTTAAGCTCCAAATGAATGGATACGAAGATTTGATGCACCACTAACGTCTGTGGGTCGCTTGTTCACACATGGCGTCTTATGAAAGAAATACGAAATAAGTTTTATTTTAATTTATCAATAAAACCCTTAATCGCGGTTGGACAAAGCAAGCGCAATGGAAACTTAAGTCATCTAACAACGGTTGACATATTCACCATTGGTAAATTGTAACACAGTGGGAGAGTTGACTTGGTTTGTGTTTTATCGCAAATATTGCAGATAGCAAGAATCGTCACCGACTTTTCTTTTATCCAATAAGGAAAGGTGAAAAGAACAGAAAAGACCTTTTAAGATTTTGAGTTCGAGGGGTAAGTTATGAAAAGGGAAGGTGTTAGCACCCTTTTCATCTGTAGTTATCTACGGGCTCTTAATTGTTTATCTCAATTTAATTTTCTTAGTGTATGCTTTGAAAAGATTTTGGAAATACCAATGTAAGGCAATCTTCTTTATAATAACCCTTGTATCAGTCTTCAAGAGTGTTTATAAAGCGTTTGAAATTAGTTTTTTTGAAAGTGTGAGGTGTGAAAATTATTTTAGTTTGTGAGCAAGAAATTAAGGGTATCTTACCAACTGAAAGGTCTTTCGTTGTCCTTTTCCTTCTCCGTTAGGGGCGGTGTTATCCATACCATTAGTTGGTAGGTAGCCCCATCTATTGGATGTGAAAGGACACACGTAGGGACATCGTTATGGTCATTGAATGCAACATATAGGGATACCTTAACAATTCAAAAGGATTATCATCATATATTTGTAGGCAAGATCGAGGGACAAGATCATTTATCGTAGGAAACTTCGAGGTACATCGCAAGACTATGATCTTTAGGAAGACTTTAACTGAGGGTCTTTACTAATGGTATCCCTACGTTCGAGGTACATGGCCATTGTTATTCCGAAGGCAACTGAGAGAGGCTACCCTAGAGGTGCATGTGCATATAGTGATTCAATTCATGTATGTCTATCTTTGTTTAGGGTGATCTAACGATTTGTTTTAGATCTTACCATACATGCCTAGTTAATATACAGTTACATACATACATACATACATACATACATACATACATACATACATACATACATACATACATACATACATAGGTGCCGAAAATAAAAGTGCAGAAAAATAAAGTCGTACGCTATTACAGGGCCTTGGGGCAGATACAATAGTATAAATTTGTGAGAAATAAAACTACAGCTATTTCAAAAAAAAACTGTACGGCCCACAAAATTGCTCTAAAAAAGTAAAAGGGTAAATAAATAAGAAAATATTAAAAAATATGTTTTAAATTCCTAAAATCTAAAACGTTAGAAATTAATTTTTTGTGTGTATTTTTATAGAAAATAATTTAAGTTAATAATTAATAAAAACCTAATTATTCTAACTAATTTTACAAATTAAAAAATAAGACCTAAAATCTAATTAAATAAAAAAATTTAATTAAAAAAACCTAAAAGACTATTTTATTTTATTTTATTTAATATTCTGATTT